CCTGAGTAATCAAAATAAACATGACAAAATTATATTTCTTAAGGGAAAAACTACTTAATACTTAATTGGCTGAATTCTTGCTTAGAATAGATAAGATGGCTGGAGGACTCCCTCCCACTTTCCAGGCTTGGGACTGTCGAGTGCACACAACCATGATTTACTGTATTAATTAGAATTCTTTAATATTTAATAGATTAATCAGTTCAAACATTATGTAAAATTACCAACATTAAATAATGTGTCCTGAATATAAATACATGTGTCTGCATACACATCAGCATTTATATGCGCAGACATGAACATTTGCATGTATGTCTAAGAGGGGAAGAATTCGAAAGAAAGCAAACTCATAATTGAAGATATAATTTTGAATTCAGAAAAAAAGAAGAAATTTCAAAATAAATAGTGCAGTAAATGCATAACAAATTGTCTACACACCAAAATGTTAGAAAGAAGTGGGAAAGAGAAAAAATAAAAATTTAGTTTAAAAAATGCAGAGCATGCAACAGAAAAATAAAAAGTAAAGCAAACAGTGTGGGTGTATTTGTGTGCACCTGGCGTGGTTAGGTCAACTCCAGATTCAAGATACATATGACAATTCTTGAAACGGGACAAAAAATAAAAACAAAAAAAAAAGAAACAAGAAGAAATACTTTCTGTGTCTTTAAATTAATATCTCTTTCATAACTATTAATGTCGTTTACATTGTTCTAGAAAAATATCTGATGAAGATGTGGAAACATGTTAAATTTATAAAATTTAACATCTTGTTCCTTATTTAATCACACTTACTGAATTCTATATTATATTACCCCTTTAACTGATTTGTTTTATTCCAAGTAAGTCTGACTCAAGGATACAATTATAGAGCAATTCATAAAATCAGTAATCATTTAGACTAACATTTTCATATTTTTTTTTTATTATGGCTGAGGATAGTCTGATTATAAATGTACTTTTTATAACTTATTTTCGAACAAAACTGCTCTCTATTAATCATCCAAGAAACTCCATCCTGCCTCCTATCAGTATGGCTGATGCTAACCTCCAGTAGAATGACTCGTTGCACATTCTCAGGCTAATGTTCTTGGCTGACATGAATTGCAAAGACTATACTGAATCCATTTCTAGACTCGTCTTTTGTTCTCACTTCTTAGTAATGTTTCTGTTTACTAATTCTTTCATACCCTGTAACTGTTTGTGTCTTGATGGATTTATTGCCTTGCTTGGGTGAACTTGATCAAAAAAAAAATGATGTATTGAATGTAATGGAGAAAAGCCTGATAATACCCAGATCAGTATACACCTGAGGAAGGCTGGAGAACACAACGACTTAAACATTGTGTTATAAAATAAAATAAGACATATCTTGGCTGATTTGCAGGCAAATAAACTAACATACTCGAGAACGAGAGCCGGATGTGAACGGGACAAGGCCCCTTCACAAAATGACCATTATCATCATTTGCGCATAGGCCTGACGCACAAGTTCTGGTTAAAAAATAAAATAATATTTTAAAGTTTCTATTTTTCAACCAATAAAAATGCTTCCCTCCTAATTATACTCACGTCATTTTTCGAGCTTGTTAATCCATAAAAAAACGCCATAAAAGGGGTCACACAGGGAAGTACTAGGAGTCAACAGGAGGCCAGGGAAGAGATCTGTAATGGTCAGTCAGCAGCAGTCAGCAGGAGGAGCGCCATGCCAACCAGTGAGAACTACTATGAGAGATCAACCCAGATCAGCAGTCGGCCTATGAACTATACCATAAGGTAGCTGTCCCAAACTCACACGTTCCTACTGAAATAAATCACGTAAATCTATTTCTGCTGTTGTCGTATTTCTTTCTTGCAACCATTCGCTTGTCTATAATATTGTGATAAAAACAGATGAGGTCAATAGTCCCAATATAAATAGTGTAAATAAAATCAAAAGTAATATAATTGAGAACACCAATCAGTTTAATTTATGGAATAATGGCAATGCTTTGTCTTAAGACTTTAGATAGCATGTGTTACCAATGCCTCGTAAAATTAGCATGCTAATTCTCTGTGACTTCTCTCACATATTCTAGGGATTGGTTGTATGATTTTTGAATAAATCATATCCTCTACATGAAACAAAAATCAATTATCTATGAAGTTTAAGGAACATTTTAATTACCTAATTGATCAGGATAGCAAGTATATTTAATAATAGTTAAAATAATGAAATTTTTGTGCTAATTTATTTTTTAATTATCTAATGGATTCTTCCAGATACAATCTACAGTTTTATTGCATTACTTTTGCTATTATTTTTCATGAGCCTGGACAAAATTAGCAAATCCTTACAGATTCCTCAAGACAAATTGTTCTAAAATTAAACTTCACTTAAAATGCCGAGATTATATGAGGTTGAGGCATAAATAATTTCTGTTTTTATTTATCAAATTTATTCTTCCAAACTTCAAGTAAAAGTATGTTTTACTCAATTACATATTGACCATTATTCTCAATGACTTGTTGTCGTTTATTGAATAACTATTCAATACCTTTTGAGCAACACACTGTGGATTTTAATCTAAAATATTTTTGACTAAATCTTAAACCAGGTTTTCATTAGGGAAGGTTTTTCTTCTTAGAGTGTTTTGTAGCAATTGAAAAGTTAATAAACAGTCAGTTCAAGGTTAAATAAATATAGTGGGTGAGGTACAATTGACCAATCAAGTTTCAAATTTCTTTTTTTGTGTTAATTTTGCTGTATACATCTTCGTATTGTCCTGGAGAAGAACAACATTTTTTTTTCCTTTAATTCACCATGTATCCTGTTCCTACCATTTAAAAACTAATGTATGTTAGTGTACTGAAAATTTATTCTTAACTGGCACATATAATTAGTAGTTAAGAAGATGCATTTATCATTACAATTGGTTCCCCAAAAGGGAAATTACTTTAGAATCAACTTAATATTTTCAAATATTAATTATAGTGCATTGATTTAATAAAACAATAAGGAGTAAAAAGCAATTCCCTATTTATATACAATAGAAGCTTATATTAATACCAGTTTACCCATGACATCCATTACACTACGAGCACCTTCAAGCTTAGAGCAAGTGGTATTCCTAAGTGGTCAACCATCTCAGTACTGTCCAGGTTCAATGATGCCTAACTCTTTGTGATTGAACAGGAACTGGTATCTTTGAAATTGAAATCATTCTTGTGTGAAATGTGGATTTTTATATTCTTCATTGACAGCATGATAATTTTTAAAAAAATTAAAAATAATAATCGATAAATTAATCAACTGTGGCTAAAAATGGAGATCATGATTTCATCTGAGGTGAAGCAGTAAGCAACAATGGTATCTTAAGGTAATTTAAATTATTTTAATTCCTTTTTATTGATGCTGATAATATTAATACAATTATTTATAATGATATATTGTTTTTATTTTATTTCTTTCTGATTCATCTGTGCATTTTTTTAGAAATGGAGATACAGAAAAGAATTATTTCCAAATTGATTTAAATTCATATATTTAAATAAAAATAAAATCACAAATATAGAATTTTCTGTATTGCTGTCATGCCATGAGACGATAAGAAAATGACAACAACTTTAATGAAACTGGTTTTCATTCTTGGTTTCTGAATTGTATTACGAGTGTTTTTTTTTTGTTTTTTTTATATTACACTAAATTCAATACAAGGTACCTTTAAAAAAAATTGTTTTTGTTACCATGACCATTCAATAAGTTGGAGAACATGACTCTCCACAAATTTTGTTGCTCCATGTAACTTTTGATTCTTTACCATCCCTCTTTGTACTTGTTCTGTCATTCAATCAGTTATTTTATGTGCTATGTCTCTTCAGGACATGGGTGATTATGGCTCTCCACAATTTCCATTCTTTTGTTGCTCTAAGTAACTTTTGATTCTTTACCATCCCTCTTTGTACTTGTTCTGTCATCCAGTCAGTTATTTTATGTGCTATGTCTCTTCAGGACATGGGTGATTATGGCTCTCCACAACTTCCAGTCTTTTGTTGCTCTAAGTATCTTTTGATTCTTTACCATCCCTCCTTGTTCTGTCACTTGTTGCTATGTCATCCAGGACATGGGTGATTATGGCTTTTCCAGTCTTTTTGTTGCTCTAAGTATCTTTTGATTCTTTACCATCCCTCTCAGTCATCCAGTCAGTTATTTTATGTGCTATGTCTCTTCAGGACATGGGTGATTATGGCTCTCCACAACTTCCAGTCTTTTGTTGCTCTAAGTATCTTTTGATTCTTTACCATCCCTCTTTGTACTTGTTCTGTCATCCAGTCAGTTATTTTATGTGCTATGTCTCTTCAGGACATGGGTGATTATGGCTCTCCACAACTTCCAGTCTTTTGTTGCTCTAAGTATCTTTTGATTCTTTACCATCCCTCTTTGTACTTTTGTTTTTTCCATCTATTCACTAAAATCTCTTCTGGAAATTACTCACCTTGAAAATCAGGATTCTAAATTCTGGTTTTAATTTGAGCTTAAAAACTGACCACTTATATATACAACTTCCTTATTTTCTAAACCATTGATATTTACGCAGTTCCACATAGATATTCATAAGGCGAAATGAGGGGTGATCATTGGGGTTAGGAAAAAACAGAGTTTTATTAAACTTTGAAGTTGGGTACAGGGGAGTCTCTGTCTACATTTTGAAATCCTGATCTCTGTTTCAGCTCAGGAACACAGGAAATCATGGGTAATCTCTATCCTATCCCAAACTGATTTTTTTTTATGGCTAATTAACCTTTTCTAAGTTATTTAAGCCCAGCAAATATTTTTAGATCATAAGAATATTTTTTAAGATAATAATCATTTTCTGATACAAGACCTACTATTTAACTCATATTTAGAGGGAAAGATGTGGATTCTTACCTTTCCCAAGGCTATTTGTGCATAAGTGAATATAACAAATCCAACTGGAACTCATTCCAAACTGTTATCCATTAAACAACACACACATCCAGTCTTACAGCACCTGATATTCTCAAGTGGTCATCCATCTAGGTACTGACCAAGCTCAATATTGTTTAACCTTGGTGAACAAATGAGAACTGGTGATATTGCTTTAAGCTATCCCATCCAAGAAAAACATCTATAGAATTTTTTTTCGTTTTAGTATCACTAATTATTTTAGAAAGCTTTGAGGATATGAAAAAGTCTAATTCAAAATCTTTTTGAGCAATCTTAATTATGCTAAAATGATGCAAAAACATCAATTATGTAAATTTAAAACTGAATTATTTTTTCTTTTACCAGCTGGATGATATTTTCTCACTAATAAAAAAAAGAAAATATTTGTTTTCAAAATAAAGTATATAATTTGCGCTAAGAATACTTTATTGAGAAACAGCTTTAATTTGTTTATTCTGATAGACACCTAAGGATAATCTAGTGTTTGTCATGAAATAAATATCTAAATGTTAGAAAAAAAAATGAAATATAAGAGACTGTCAAGTCTTTTTCTCTCTTCTTTTGATCTATCTCTGTTCATGTCACTCTCATCAAGTTAATTCTCATTCAAAACTTTTTTTTTGAATCAGTTCCACCCCAAGCAAGGCAGTAAAGCCACTAAGATGTAATAGGTTACTGAGTACGGAAGAATTAGGAACAGAATCTGTAGTCAGTTTCTTTGTGCTTGGAATGAAGTTCCCTAATCTGATTTGTCCACCAAACAGCATTGCGTAAGGCAAATAATCCAATAAATGTGTCCTCTGCTTACTACCCCAATTGTACTGCTCTGTTGCCTTGTCAAGCACTTTTTGTAGCTTGAGTGACAGGTCAAATTTGCATAGGTGCAAAAAAAAAAAGTCTTGCAAAAATATCCAACTCAGATACCCATTGTTTCTTAAATACATGAAAAAAAAAAACAAACATTTGGGTTGGGGAGAATACTTTACATGTGAGACACATCTGAACCAGTAATGTCAATCGTTATCTTTTGTCTTAATTTCTAGTCATTTATTGTTCTCTCTTATGTTTTCTTTATCTTATCTTCTCTTACCCTCAGCAACCCCTTGCATCTTAGTGTCTTTATTGCCTTGCCTGGGATAAAGTAATTAAAATAAAAAAATACCTGTTTTATTTCAAAGTCATAGCATCTATATTTCTGCCTCTCAATATCCCCATAAATATTTACGTTTAGGAAAAAGAAAAGAGAAATATAACAACTTTTGAGTGGTCATAGATTGAACGTCTCCATGTAATTTAAAATTTAACATTCCAGCAGCATCCTTAAGGGGTACTGTTCATTGCACTGTATGTAGACATTGCAAGCTTGTAGGTACAAACACAAGTAAGACATCAAAGGCAAAACATGCTGTTAGTTCTTCAATCATGAACAATAATATGCAAGTCCATTATCTATTTCTAAGCTATTAATTTATCTTTTAATACGTTATGGAAGAGCACCGCTTGCCAAGACATCTGCTGTACAGAGAGCTCCTGCATGGGAAGAGAAACCAAGGCTGTCCAAAGAAACAGTACAAAGACACTGTGAAAGCAAATCTCCAGGGGTGCAAGCTCAAACCCCCAAAATTAGAGGAGCATGCCAGTGATCGACCATGTTGGCAAATCATCATCCATGATGTTGCTGTCACCTTTGAGGGGACTCAACACCAGAAGCTCACCGCTGCCAAAGATCAACGCCACAGGGCATCGTCAGCAGTGATTACAACAACGGACTTTCAGTACCCCTACTGTTCCAGACTCTGCACCTCCAGCCTGGAGCCACCTCCAAGTTCACAGATGAGATGCAGAAACGATACGCCATCTTCAGATTCAATAGCTCTATCTCTGATATTGAGCGCTTTCTAATAAGTACCGCGCATATAATATATAAATAATTATACATATATATATTTATTTATATTTATATACACTTTTCACATATATATATATATATATATATATATGCGCAACACAATCTAACATTGAATACAGCAACCAATTGCTATGTATGCATGCAACGACGCATGGATGCCCAAATATACCCAGTCCCATACTGTTCATATATGTTCATGATCATGTGATCTGCAATGCGTGATCATGTGATCTGCAATGCGTGATCATTGCAATGTGTGATCATGTGCATCTATGTCTGTGTTTCCTCCAACTACGATAAAACACTGATATAAGCAACCATAAATGAATACAAAATTTCAAAAATTAATCAGTTAATGTGAATACCAGGGTCACAAACTCACATCAATCCAACTAAAATATATATATATATATATATATATATATATATATATATATATATATATATATATATAATAAAATAAACATTGTATTTAGTGGGTGCATGTGTTTGAGCAGACATGTGTTTTCTTTTTCCCTTTGGACAGTTCTACCAGTCTAGAGATTGAAAGTATAATTGAATAAAATCAAAAATAATAATAATTTCTTAGAAATTGCATCATTTATATTTCAGATACAAAATCAAACATGTGCTTTTGAGAAAAATCTTAATGAAGAGACGGAAATTACTTCAAAGTATAAATCAAACATTGCAGGTTTGTGACACACTCTTTGGCCAAATAGTCTAAAGTATGCTACATCAAATGCAAGTTTCACGTGCAAAAAGGATACAATTTCAAATACAGCCTGAGAGCACATATTTTTTTTTAAAGTTTTCGAGTTGACATAATACATACTGTTTTAAAAAAAAAAAAATGAGGCATCCATTTCAAATACGGGTATCCACTAAAAATAATACATGAAGTAATAAAAAATATGTTATGTATGTGTACATAAAACACACTTCCTGTTTCCCTGATAGCTATAATCTCCAACTATTCCAATGTAATATCAATCGATGTCTCCAGATGCCTTGATCTATCCCCTATCCTTCTCTTCATCCTTTCCAGTATCACTCCTATTTTCTCTTGCTTCAACTCTCTGTAACCCCATGCATGCTAGTGGCTTCCCGCCTTGCTTGGAGTGAAACGCTAAAAAAAAAATAAAGAGTCCTGCGTTTATGTATACATACATATATGTATTCTAGACATAATGCACAGTGTTTAAAATAAAAAAAAAAAAACTTATCTATTTTTCAAATATAGTATCCATGAAAAATAATGTTTGTTATATTATATGTATGTAAGTGTATATTCAGATGACATGAATGTCCACTTTTAAATTTACATCCCTTATTCCCGATACTGAACAATTTAACACATAAATATAGCATACATTAAAACTATATATATATATATATATATATATATATATATATATATATATACACATTTAGCCTGCAAGAATTCATCCTAAGATCTATTATATTCAGTTAAATTCAACCAAGAATGTCCATTTCATTTTTTTTTTATGTCTTTCTAATTTTCAAATAAAATATACATCAGATACGAAACTGTAAATAACTATCTCATGTTCATGTTTCGTTCTTCAAGATCGTTCAACTATGTCAGTCATTATCAAGAGCTGGGTGGGAGAATGGTTACATGGAGTCAGACTGCTCTGTAAGAGAATAAAGAAATATATCTATATGAATTATTATTTTGTATATGCATATCAAATATTTTACACACACTTTAAGCTAACAAAACTTTGGGTGAAACATTTTATTTAATTTTTTTTTCTTTTGTATAATAATAGCTTCTCAAATTTTGAGTCATTCCTTGCAGTTAATGTTATATAATAATTTGTTATCATGTACTAATATATGTCTCATGCTGATAATTTCATTTTTGTAGTTTGTGATGTAATAATCAATATGTGCATGAATTATAAGGGCCAAGTCAGTCTACAAGAGAGTGTGGTGTATGTGTGGCTCATGTAAGAATTTAATGTGTTTTAACTACTGATTTTGGATATGTAATCTCCAAATGCACATGAAAATAAATGTAAGTAAAAAGGGAATTTTGAGCACCTGAATTTTTATTTTAAGATTTATGAAAATTTTACATACATCCTCAGACATTTCATGACCACAGCAAGACAAAATAATTTCTCAAATCCATCCATGATCATAACATCTTTGGTGGTTGGCATAAAATGATCCATCAGGGTTGATATGCCATTAAACAAAATCAAAACAAACCACAATGCAGTAGAATGCAGAAATGTTGTACAAGTGTCCGACAGTCCTATAAGCTGGTATGAATGTAGATCTGTGTTTTGATAAACAAAACTAGAGCAGGCCCCATTTACTTGAGTCTTAGGGGCATAAAATCAAGTAGTTGGCCCTCAGCATCACCAAACCTTAGCATATCACTGCCACAACCTCTTGGAGAAAGATAGTAGAGTGGTTTCCCACTGCCTTCTCTATGGGTTGGAATTCAGAGTAGTACTTTTCTTTGACTGGCTGAAGAGAGACTCTAGTCTGCCCTATTATAGCTGATAGATGGTCAGAAAAAAATGGATTCATGCCTTTTATGAAGAACATATGTGTGACAGTGAATACAACAGACTAGTTTGGACTTTTAAGTCAGCTTACTGATTCCAATTTTCCTGCATGGTCATGTGTGACGTCATGAGCTGCGATGCGATTTTCGCTTCCACGTCTCGTATATACGAGTTTGTCATTACTTGAAATTTTCATGCAGCAAGAGCAGACTATCATTGTTGTTTCATCCATGTGTTGTTTGATTTATTGAAAATGTCATCTTTGATAATGGCTTGTGTAAGCCGAAAGCTTAGATTGGATTTAAACATGTATCAATATGGTGTTTTCCTTTCGTCTTTCAACAATAATGTGATTAAGCTTATCAGACAATATGAAAGGTACTTACTTAAAAAAATATACAAAAATTGTCTATATTATTTAATGAAACATGCATTAATGAAATATTGCTGCCTAAATATACACAATATATATATATATATATATATATATATATATATATATACATACATGCATATTTACTCCAAAAATTTACTCATATACAGTTACACATTTTAAACTGTTGTCAATTTTTACAATATATTCCTTGTTTGCAACTGCTGCTCTAAGTTGATTGCATGATCTGGCAAATATTAGTCCAATTGAATTCAAATCCTCTTTGCTTTTAAAAAAAGATATCATTTTGAATAACTGTACA